GCGCATAATGTGTAATAAATATTACATTTTATATCTTTGGTATTATCTATCTGTAGCTTATATGAAAAATTATGTAATTCAATGGTTTTGATTCTTATATGATTTCATTAAAAATAAATCTGGAGTTAAATTTAAAAGTTTAAAAACTACTAATTACTGATACAAACGTATGAAATGAAAATACCGTGAGTTATACGTTCACCGTATCACACATTGATAACAATTGATAAAGTTTGATCAGTTTTCCTTATTGTTACAAATATCAAGTAATAGGGCGATACTATTAAAATGCATGTGAATTAAGCAGAAGCATTACTATCACCGGAAAGATTCTCCATTGGATTGTTAGCCAATGGATCCAATTCTGCGAATAAATCCAACCACGAGTTACCTTTCTGCTTTCCAGTCTTATTCTTTTTCTATGAAAAGAATTTTGCGATATATTAATCATGCGACATATTCGCATTATTACTGTTGAACGCAGTTCGCGAGTACTTACTTTATCATCCGCGTTACTAACGGTGCTCTTCTGTCCCATACCTAATGCAGCATCTCCTAGACTCTGTTTCAAAATGCTTGGCGGTAGAAAAGTGTCATGTGATATGCCTTCCCAGTCATTGTTCGTGGATTGTTGCTTATCATTCAGGATTTCATCGAAAAGCGCTGCGCTTTCGGAAGCCAATAAATTCAACGATTGCTGTTGTCGAGCCTCGGATGATAAGGGAGACAAATCAGTCAAATTAAAATCGGTATTGCATTCTTCAAATATATCCATTACTGATTTCTGTTCTTCGGAGCTTTTACTAAATACAGTGTTGGTTTTCTCGGTTTTATTAACCGATTGTTCAGTACTATTGGACGCATCTTTTTCCAGGATAAGATTTCCAAAGAACTCCTCGAGACTTTTATCTGTATCGTTGGTATTATGCACGATTCCGTTTTTCGAAGAATGTGTACCCGTATCCAAATGTATCAGTGTATCCTTTGACTCATTTTCTATGTCCAAGAGCTTTTCATCTTTTTTATTTTTCTCCGATGTGCTTTCTGAATTTGCGGTAGCCTCTTGAGCCTCCTCAACATCATCGTGATAGTCCATGTCGAAAAATGGTAATCTGTAAAGAACAATATCGTGAAAATGACATAGTATTTTCTTTCATTTTTTAACTCACTTATCCTTGTCTTCTAAATCGTCATCACCACCAGTTTCCTGTGCCAATTTACTGGAGGTTTCAACCAGTTCTCGCACAACTGTGAAATCGTAACGTTGATAGCCTTTGAAGCTGTTGGCTATTGTGGAATATGCTTGTGCAGATTTCTTTGTGAAATTCAGGAGTGTAGTTTGATATAAAACTAAGGCATGACTGAACATGTTACACCTTGCCGCCGCCAGTAAATCAACCTTCTGAAGACAGTCAAGGGCTAGATTGTCAAAAACTATTTTTCCCCTAAATTGTAACATACATATGGTATATAAATTTCTTACAATATTTTGTGAATATGTAATTAAATCCAATTTATAAAAATGAGAACAAAAAAGTTATTGTTTAATTTAAACAGTGTAATAATTTAAATAATAAGATTAAATTTATGATTGTACTTTATATTACATGAATATATAAAATATATAAAACCTACTGCTTAACACGTGCTTGAACTTTTTTATATTTTTCCAGTTGTTTGGACGTGTCTGGATCTAAATCGTGAGAAATATTTTTCATCCATGATAGAGCAGCTCTGTATTCCGTACGGGCCTTTTCCATCGCTTGCACATTTTGCAATGTATCTTCAATAGCTCTTTGCCTAAATGTTTCTACTTCTTGATACAATCGACCCAAAGGAGCTCTCAATGCAAGCCTCTGCTGACTAGAGTAAGACAGAGATTTGCCGACTGCTGACATCATCTTGCCGGCGCGAGTTTTGTCTTGCTTTCCGGCATCTTTCAAGAAACGTCCCATTCCATTTTCCTCCTGGGCTAAATCTAAACAGGTTAAATTATCTCGTTATCACAATTTCTTAATAGTACAGTTTATTTTAAAGAAGAAAATACCATAACAGTATATATATATATCCTATGATAATTAATACAGTTATTTTATATTAGAAATTGTGTTAGAACGCACTGCATAATCTTTCTTGGTATTTATCAATAACTCTTTGTAAGTACGAACAGGAATCTTGGATACTACGGAACAATTCTAGCTTTGCATCCAGCTCAGCATCCGAAGCAACTATACACTCATCCTCCTTTTTCCCTAATTTCTGGGACAAAGCCTGCTTTCTCACCCAGAACTGGTATTGCATTTTTATGATGGCAGAGTCGTCATGCATAGACTTTTGAACCCAGCAATCAAAGGCATTCCCTGATATGCCCGATGCACCTCTGTTACTGCATGCATGGTATAAAGAAGTTTTGTAAGTTTCTCGTTAAACGTGATAGTGATTAGTATAAGAGTTGCATGCAAATTTCAACAAGAAAAACAGTATTCCCATTGTTAATAAAAAATTAGTCAGATAATATATATTATTTAAAACAGATACTTTCTTTTACAGATGTTAAATCATTAGTTCTACTGATAATGCAAATATATGTGTTTCCTTTTCCTGACCAAAAAAGGATGGAGAGAGAAGAAAATTTATAAACTTCATAGGCAATTTATCAATCATACAAGGAGAAAGAATACATAATGTTTTTTGGAGACAAGAGGGAGATAGACTTACAAGGCTTACGGAGAAGTTAAATAATCAATTTTGTGCGATATCTATTAATAACACGAAGAGATGCAAACTACCATATTGATTCAGTATAGTAGATATGAATTTAGACTGGTAACGACATGGTCGCCGTCGGTCGTGTCCTGTTCAGCGAGACCGACACGGCTCGAGCCACGACGATGGTGGGATCGGACGAGATTGAGAAAAGAACGAAGGAGATACTTACTAAGCATTCATAACGGAAGACCCGCTGATACGCCACGATGTGCGCGCGTGTGGGTTACACGTTAATGTTTACAACCGCGGAGTGTAAGGCTCCAGGTCGCCGTGTGTGCGTACTATACCGTTGCTCGACCGCGTAATCACATAGTGCACGCGCGTACCGTTCCACACACGATTGCATTCGTAATGCGCTACGTGTTAACAATCGGGACGAAAATCGGAGCGTTTTTCTACTTGACAGCTCGGACGAGAAAGCCACGAAGGCTAGTTCATCACATATGGCGAGCGATTATCAGTCGTCAACCAATGGGCGATGAGATGCTCGTGATTGGTTGGCCAACGCGATAAAAAAAAAAGGATAAATTAATCGTTATTATCGCTGATCGCATGAAGCAACAAATCTGCAGCGAATGATATCTCGCGGAGTTTAGAACCTTGACCAGGTTTTATGATGATGATTTTATGAGTATAATACATAAATAGATGGATAAAATAAAGTTTGTTCTTTTTTATTTCCCGTACAGCACAGAAACATTACAGCAACATTGTAGAAATATTTTATTGTAAGATTGCAACATTGCAAAAATATTGCAAAATATTGCTGCAATATTTCAGTAATAAAGCGTTTTGTCCATTAAGCTGTGTTCACAATGTCTTCATAGAATTTTGATTTTAATATAAAATTAAAATAAAATTAGCAACGAAAGTGAACCTTAATGCATATACGGATATAATTTATATGTACAGCCGGTCACAGAAAAGTTGCAACATTTTTCTTTCGATGGATTTCAGAATGCAGCTTGCTCACCGAGCTATTGGCTCTTATTTGTGGATCCATGAATAAGACCAATCGCTCGGTGAGCAAGCTGCATTCTAAAACTCATCGAAAAAAAGCAACTTTTCTGTGACCGGCAAGTATGCGAACGCTGAGCAAAGACTCGGAATGGTAAACAAAGCAATAATTGTATCTAGCAATAGGTGTCTTCTAAGAGATGACGTTGCAATAAGTTAGATAAGGACAGATGAATGCGTTTGAGCGAGACAACGATATATAATAAGTACAAATGAATAAAAGATGTCACTACTACCGAATTTAAAATAGTTTTATTGATAATACAGACGGCTCCAGCATCCCTTAAGGAGATCCTGGTCTGATCAGTGATAAGTGAAGCTCGAACTCCGACGAAATTACCAGAGGGCGCACCGCGCGCCGCGCATCAACATGTTTTATATACTATCCCATCAATATCTCATGCAACCTATGATACACGCAGTCGCACATTCGTGTCAATTTTCGTATAACAAATTCGTCGCGATAAAGCGTCTAAATCGAATTCTAAGAACTCGACATTGTTTGTTCGTGTAAACTATGTGTTTGGAAATCACTATTTCGTACGTACAGGTTGCAAAGCTTTCATATCAAGCAAATGTCACGATTTGACAGCTGAGACGCCATGTTACATTAAGAAATAATAAAAAATAAGAACAGAGATTGGACTGCGCGATCCTATCTAAGTAATATATATATATATATATATATATGGTCGACAAAAATGAGAGAAAGAGAGAGAGAGAGAGAGAGAGAGAGAAATATGCATCGTGGAAGACGGTCAATCTTTATCTCTTTCCACTCAACGATATAACGAGAGAGAAAATGAGGAGATTGGCCGTCTTCCGTCAGTCCGTCTCTCTCATTTTTGTCGACTATACTACTTAGGCCGGTATTTATAGTTGATTCTTATTTCAAGACCGTCTTACATAATGTCTTAAGACGCTAATGCGGCTCTCTGATTGGTTCGTGACTTCTTAAGACCGTATTTAAGACGGTCTTGAATATAAGATGTGACTATGAATATCGGTCTTAGATAGGATCGCGCAGTCTATTCTTTGTCTTCGGTAAAAAATATATCAATTTTAAAATTTTTAATCGTTCTTGACGTAGATTTTACTTCCCTTAAAGAGTACGTACTGTACTTAAAGGAAGAGACTTAAAGAATACGAATCGAGGCCGGTAACATAAAAACTTGTTTCCTAGATGCCAAACTTTTTTTTTTAAATAAAAAAAGGACCGGTATTTGACCAGATGATCTTAGTATTAAAAAAAAAAAAAAAGAAATGCGCAGGACACGAATGACCTAGACGTGTGTATTAAGGGTTAATTAATTTGTCACATGGGAACGTGAAGTGCCTAAGCATTGTTTTTCAACGGTCGTGATCGAAATTTATCGGTCAAGTTAAACAGTATAAAAACAACGAATCTGTGCAAGGTAAGCAATAGAGAGAGAAAGAGAGAGAGAGAGAGAGAGGAGAGAGGGAGAGGGAGTGAGGGAGGGGGGAAGAGAGGGGAGTGAGAGGGATTGATTGGTTTTATTAGCTT